CCTGTCCCACATAATAGAGGCGTATTATGCGGTGACTCCATACAGAGAACGTGTAGGCATGCCGACGGATTTAACAATGGTAGCCAGTTTTAGGGTCCTCTGTTTAGGGATGGTAAGGGTACCAATGCTGTCTAAATATATAAATATATACGGACGGGGGAGGGTGCATAATCATCTCAACTGCGGGGCAGCGCATTTTCGTTCCTGGACTCGCATTCGCAGGACTTGCAGGGGCTGAGACCCCTGGTGGGTACCTACAGAATAGGCTGTGGTTTCATTCGTGGCCGTGGACCGTAGTACTTGCGTATGACCACCGAATTACTATCCGACCTCGTGGGAATCGGATGGATCGGATTGCCGGGAGCGTATAACCAGCGAGGAGCTATGACTACGCTGACAGCGTCCCTCATATGCGTGAGGAATAGTGGACGGGGGCGGGTACTTGTCGGTGGTGGCCGTCTGAGCTGCCTTTACCGTAGGCATGATCTCCTCAAGGTGGTGGTTATAGATTCCACTAAAATCGAAACCGCGGCCGGATCAGATCCGGAAGTTTCAACGCTAGCGTTGCACCCAAGAAGATAGAATTGTCGTCTCTATTTAGAGAATGCGTGGGAGACTTGGCCGATGCATTTCGACCACTTTTTGGTACCCCTTTACGCGCGGCACTGGTTAAGTGCACAACATTAACCCCTCGGAAGGGGAAGCAGGAGAAGTCGACATGTCGTCAGCATGCTGCGGGATGATGTGGGCTTTTACCCCGAACCTCACGAAAAAAGTAGGTTTTCGGTGCACTGAGGTGAGTCGCTCCTAACTTGCGGATCTAAACGTGTGATATGGCCTGACGGCTAGGTGCGCACGCTAAAAACCTCAATGTTAATTGACATTGCGACCCCAGTGGAATTGTAGGTCCTCTGTTCCTCTTTTTAGGGAAATTGAGAAGGTTTATTGTATATAGTCAAAATGTGTGTATTGTGCTTCTTGTATCAGGGAGTGTATTTATTAGAGTGAATGGGGATGGGCTGATGGTGAATAGCATCCCCATCGCCCCGCGAGCTGGCGTCGATGGCGGAATATTTACCATCGACTCCAATTAGGTTAGTTTGTTATTGTATGAATGTAGATGAAGGAATATTGAGTACTCCATCTACTAAATAGAATGAATGCAATGTACATGGGTGTGAATGTATTTATTGGTGCGAATGCGTATTGAATGTGTGTTGTAATTTCGCATGCGCTCGGGGTTGAAATGGCCAAGCTGTTCGATGCCGCTTAAAAAAGTTTTTATTAACAAATGCATGAACAACATTATACATTCCTTTCTTTATTCCATACGCTAGACATACTCATAACCGTTGAGGCCGTATGAAGGTAGTAAATTTAATCAATTTTCCAATAATTAGTATAAATAATACAGTTAAATCAAATAAAAATCCGCCAAGGAATTTGCCATCTTTATAAATAAAAATGTAAAAATCCATTTATATAATAAAATTAAAGCAATATAAAAAAGGAAAACCCAAGAATAAACATAGATTCATACAAAAAACTACTAATTTATTAATAAAGTAGATTATTACGTTAGTGGGCGAATAGGTAGAGGAAGATGAAAATCTTTCAATTGTATATGTATTGTAACAGAGGAAGGAAGAGAGTGATAGACAGAGAGAGAGAGAGAGAGAGAGAGAGAGAGAGAGTGGGAGTGAGAAAGAAATGGGTAGAAAGTGAGAGAGATTATAAACATATTAAACAATAACCAGATAAGCATAAAATTTGACAGTGAAAAAATTATAATTATTTATCTTTTGCCTGTCTGTTTGCTCAGAAAATTATATTTTAAAAATTGAAGCAATTGATTTGTTATAATCATCTTAAAACATTATTTCTTACTTTTTGTACAAGTAGAACCTTTTATGAACATTGTCAACTCTTGGGGTGAGGGATAATTTATTTGAAAAGAAAACATTTCGACTCTGTGACTTTCAGTATCGAATTAAAAAAAACTTTTCAACTTCCATCATCCTTTTTCATAGAGATGGACCTTTTCTACATCTGTGGTTTTTCATTCATCCTTTGTTCGAACCTCTTGGGGTGATTTACTTTACGCCGAAAAGAAATTCATCCCGTCCATGTCATTACTGTTTTTTATTATTATTATTATCTGGAAAGAGAATACGAGGTGTTTTTTAATGAATGGGAGGTAAATCAAGTATGGATGTTTATAGTGCAAAGGTTTTTGAAAATGCCAAACTTATTTATGCTAAAAAAATTTAACTTGAAAGCATTAAAATGCTAAATAATCTAATAAACATTACATTGAAACATTTTATTTAATTGTTGAAAGATAGCACGATTGAAAGGATGATTTATGTACAGTCAAGAACTGAACAGAAATACTTTAGAATTAATGAGGTTAACACCAATTCTCAGTTGAATTATATGTTGAACAGATGAGACATTGCAAATTCAAACATAGATACCAGGCTGGTTTATAACCTATTAAACCTCCTGAATAATACTGAGACGGCCTGTTTCCAAAACCTTTTTCTTCCCGGGTCAACCATTTTAGAAAATCGCTTTCTAACCACGGAAAGTTATCAGCTCGCGCTGTTGCGGAAATATAATGTATGTGTAGGTAAATTATTGATATTTGATTTAGAGTCGGGTTCACCGGGCAGGGTTATCTTCTGATTGGAAGATCGCCACGAGCGATCCTTCACCACCGCAACGTGGTCTGGGTTTTATGAAACCCTGGGGGGATGAATTGACCCGATTCAACGATTCTGCCTGTTCTCTTGTTGGAATTTTAAATAAACAGCGTTACAGACATATTTCTCTCCTGAAACCCTCAAAGAATCGCTCTTACAACAGTTAATATATGTATTTGATACCTGTCCGAGTAGTTACAAATGGACTTTTGAGCAGTGAAATAAATATTTTAAGTATAGCTAAATATTATTCTAATATGATTATCTGCTTTCTTTGTTCATATATTTCAAGATTATTGTATAACAGTGAATTTCCTTTTTTTTACGAAGGACATGAAAATAATATGCTGGATAGTATCAAATGAGAATAAATATATAAAACATACAAAATACTTCAAATAAAGAAGGCCAAAAAGCATTTTTGTTGAGTAAAAACAATCAAATTCGTTTGAGGACCCTTTAATACCCAACAATTACAAATTTATAGCAATAAAAAGTATACATTTTTGGCCTGATTCGCCATGGCAATTTTTTTCACACTGATATCCTATGTTTCACTTAAAAATTCATAACTACTCTGGATTGTATTCAATTTCAAAGTTATTTTAACCTTTCGAATGGTGCATTTTTCAGCGTTCAGAACATACCAAAAAATTCTACATACAACCAAGAACAGGATGAAACAGCTTCATCAAACGTTTAATTTTATTTCTGCGATTCTAATTTATTTACAGAGATCATATTTACGCCATTACATATAGATTAAAGTTGTCTAGATCCACGTAGAATAGTTTTTATCATTTTCGAAAAAAAATCTTACGCAAAGGGAAACTATTTGAGCCTATTTGTTTTGTTTTGATTTTTCCAAAATTGTATTCAAGAGTTTGTAGCAGAAAGATGTTTCGAACTAGCATCACCAAGAAAAATGTCATTGAAATCGCTAATCACACGTCCGTAATCTCTTCCTGTTAGTTATGTTGTACCTGTTATACATACTTGTTTTCTCTTCTGATGATGACGTACCCTTTTATGTCTCTTGGATACCAACCATTCTGAAAATTTTTTTTGTCATTATTTGTTCGTCATTGACAAATAGTTTGATTACCCTTTCGAGTAGTTTCTAAGAAACCAGGATAGTACCCTAGTAAGTTGTTTTATATATATATATATATATAATATATAAAACTATAATTATGCTTGTTATATTTGTCCTCCAAGATTCTCTATCTTTATAATGCAGGCTCTCGATTTTTCCATTATTTCTGAGTTGTTAAGGGTGTTCATGGGGGCCGCGGTAGCCGAGTGGTTAAGGCGTCAGACTCTCGCCTAATAGATCCCGCGGTCGTGGGTTCGATCCCCACCGTCGCCTATGGACTTTTTCTGACGCCTAAGGGGGCCGGTGGCCGCAATTGAAAAGAAATTGACACGGCACTCATCAATGGAAGGAGCGGGATCAGATCTCAGCGACCCTGAATTTGGTCCCAACCCCCTTCAAAAATGAGTTTCTTCGATGGAAGAACACCGGCACACCGGGGGCTCAAATTCACACTTGTGTTGCGAGCCCACAAAAAATGGAGCCAGGGATAAAGTACAATAAGCTGAACAGCTGCAGTGCTCAGGAGGGAACTCCTCCAGTTCCTGGTATGCATTAAAAAAAATAAAAAATAAAAAAATTTAAAAAAAGTTTTTAGTTGAGATGAAAAAAAGTCAATGGCACGAGCGGGATTCGAACCCACGACTTCGGCTAGATACGCCGCTGCTCTACCGTGAGCCTTTTTTGAAAACGCATAAGGTGGGGTTGAGATAGGTAGTTGATGTCCGAGGGGATCGAGGTCACGATAGCTCACGGTAGAGCGGCGTATCTAGCCGAAGATCTTGGGTTCGAATCCCGCTCGTGCCATTGACTTTTTTTCATCTCAACTAAAAACCTTAATTAATTGTAATGTATTAATTGGTCAAGCGGACCACGAAATTAGTGAATTTTAAAAAAAGTGTTGTGTTCTTTAAACTTAGCAACGCTATTTGACTGTCAGATTTTATAACCTTGAAGTATTAACCGTATATTATAATATATATAATATACGGTTAATACTTCAAGGTTATAAAATCTGACAGTCAAATAGCGTTGCTAAGTTTAAAGAACACAACACTTTTNTTTATTTATTCTTCAAAACTTTCAAACAGTTGTAATACCACGGACATTGGATAAAATCCAAAGTTTTATGAATTTTTTAGTCGACCCGACATGCAAACGTTAGTAAGTACTAAGTTGGTAAAGTACAGTAAAAAAATAAATAAACATTAGCATTTGTAATTAACATTATTTCGCTTACATTTTAGTAAAGAGTTTTATGTCAGTAGAAATAATGAATAACACAATATATTTGCATTCTAAATTAAAACAAATAAAAATCAACGTGATTAAAATTACAATGTGTTATACCATACAGTCCCTTTTAGAATAATTTATTTTTGAATGATCAACGAAACTGTATCTGTTGGCGTCAAAGAAGTTTACACAAATTGTCTTTTTGTCATTTTTCTCATAATGTGCAATTCGATTATTGGAATGTCATGTGATAAGTTAAACTTTCGCGAACTTGTATTATCATTTACAACAAACATAAAAAAATTAAAAGTTTTCTTATTATTATTTCATCAAATCTGCAATAGAATCGGCGTAATAATTAGGGACAAGTAATGAATTGTTTTCTTCTTCAGCTTTCTTCGCATCTTCCAGGCTGGAAACACCCGTCAACACAAGAATGGTCGTCATGCCACACTGGTTACCCATAACAATATCAACTTCTAACCTAAAAAGTAACAAAAACAAATATAAAACAGAGCTAAATATTGGGAAATAAAGATGTGTATGTATTATATTTATTTTATTGATCATTTTAATATACACTGACCACTATATTCAAAACCTCATAAAATTCATACCACGTCCAATGCCACCGTTGATCAACGTGAAAGGAGGAAATACTCCACAAAAATATTTTTGGTAAAATTAACTTTCTCTGTTGAATTTTTTTTAAATTTTTTTGTTTAGCTATTTTATATTTTTCTTTATAAATATGCAATAATATGCAATAAACAACAAAAAGTTCAAATTATGACGATGGCAATTATTTTCTTTAAAAAAAAATACAAAGACGAGGGTGGCCACTTTTTGCATCTCAATTTATAAAGAATATCATTCGTTATGTTATGTGTTTTTTCGTGTTAATTTGTTCACGACAATCGGCAAAGCCATAACAGAAATATCGCATTGAAGATAAATGACTTCCATAATTGAAACTCGGTTCTGCACCTGAACGATAACTGTTGATGTGTGGAGCTGCTAGGTCACACTAGGTCGTACAAATTCGTGTTGACTAAAAGCCGTATCATATGCTACACATTGTAGCACGTCTAATTTACACCGAATTGACTCGCCATGTTGGATTTTTAGGAAAAATCAATTCATATTTTGATTGGTGAGGTCAATATAATTTAAAATCGTTTCGGACGATTTGAGCTCATCAGTGAAGGAACTTAAAGAAAATCAATAGTTATATCTTATTAAATCCATTATAGGGGGACCGCGGTAGCCGACTGGTTAGCATGAGAGACTCTCACGCCGCGGTCGTGGGTTCGATTCCCACCGTCGCCTCTGGCCCTTTTTTCCCGATAACCCCCAATTTGAACACACAAGAATTCGTACTATGGCTAATATGCAAGATCAGAAGGCAAAAAAAAAAAATCCATTATATTTAGTGGTCTATTGACCAAATTACTCCTTTCAATTAAATAATCTTTTTATGATGTTTTGTAGATCGACCTGCAGATAATCAATGTAGAGTTCAAATCTTCTTAAAGGTCTTTACTAGGTGAAAGAAAGACAAAAGTGTTGGGATCACCAAGCATTTGGCAACATTATGTTGCCATTATCAGAGCCTATTTATTAAGAAAAATATATATAATTGATTGTTGAATTTATATTAATTTTGTATATTTTTCTTAATAAATAGGCCCTGATGATGGCAACATAATGTTGCCGAAAGCTTGGTGATCCCAACACTTTTGTCTTTCTTTCACGTAGTAAAGACCTTAAAGAAGATTTGAACTCTACATTAATCTTTTTATGTTAAGTTTTGGTTGAAATGAAAAAATGAACTTTTTCATTTCAAACAAAACCTTACATAAAAAGATTAATTAATTGCTATATATTATCTTGATGTTAATAAAATTAAATTTTTAATAACAATTTATTAAAGAAAAAGGAAAATAACAATATTATTAAATTATGATAATATATTGACCTCAACAGTTAATCTTATGATTCTTCCTTCTTGAAGGTGGGATAATAGGTCATCTCAAAAAAACCACAACCAGTTTTTATCCACAACGTTTCGGATTTATTTGAATCCTTCCTCAGGTGAGTTAACGCAATGGTTAAAAAAGTGGTCGTCAGTCATTAATATTTTATAACAATTTATTTTAAAAAAAGAGCCAGTGTGGTACTTATTCAGACTAGAAACAAACGTTTTAATATTTTGAACCTGACTAGTTCAGTTTTTTGAGATGACCTATTATCCCACCTTCAAGAAGGAAGAATCATAAGATATGATAATATACACTTTACATAAAAAAACCACCTGTTTTTGCACGAAAAATGGCCAACTTTGGAATTGCATATTTTCTCATCCTTTTGAACCACAGACCTGCGCTACGTCCCATTTTTTTTAAAAACTTTATGGTGAACAAGATGGCTCTTGTAAATGTTCCTAGCTTCAGATTCATCAGTAATTTAAAAAATTCGGGAAGATTTTAATTTTTGCACTTTTTACGAAAACTTCAAATTAAGCTAGGAAATCGCCCTTGAGCGACGTCCTGTAGCCATCGATGAGAAACTTAAATAAACTTCCAAATGATCACCTTCAACTTCGAGGTCACGATAGCTCAAGTGGTAGAGCAGCGGCTTATCTAGCCGAAGATCGTGGGTTCGAATCCCGCTCGTGCCATTGACTTTTTTATCTCAACTAAAAGCCTTAATTAATTGTAGTTGATCATAATGTTGAAAATAAATTTCTTACGTACACCCAACAGTACTTCTATGTATCAGGACGTAAGGATTAGATAATCCAAATCATAAATTATCGGCTTTCTTAAAAAAATTTCGAATATCAACAGTGAATTTTATATTTACTTCATATCAGATTGTTAATTAAAAGGTAATGTATAAATATATCCTTTTAGATGTTGGGGAAAATAAATACCTTATTAGAGCGATGCATTTTTAATTAAACATTTACTACCGATTTACGAATATGTTCGATTTACTGTTAATGAACATAAGCACGGTTTTCATTAAATCATTTTGTTTCATTGCATTTTGGACGTGCTTTTCCGAGGTGCTAAAGAGATGAATTGGAATTACTCGCTAGTCAGGAATGATCAATAAAATCAACTGAGATGAATTATAAAACGTCAGAATACGTTGTTTTTTTACATGGGTAATTAAGTGCCATCCTTCACACGTTTTAGTGGATTAAAAAATGTTGTTTGTCATTACCATAACTTTCGTTTTATTTTAATTTTAATTACTAGCTTATATAATTATTTTGATAATCGATGAGAATATTATTACTCTTAAGTATTACATTTTATGGTTCATTGTCCGTGATTTATCCTGTTTTAGTGATAATTCGTCAAACCCAATGTTCATGAATTTGTAAAATATTTAAATTCTGTTTTAATCGCTTCTTCATTGTTTATTGTAGAACTAGGCCTTACCAGCTTTGAAATATTAAATTAAGAAAAAACCGCATTAATAATTTAGTAATATGTTTAAATTTATTGCGCATCATGTAGAATTATTTCAATTCAATTTTTTTTCTTGCGCAAAAAATTGAGTTGGGCTCACGGGGATAGAGGTCTTCTTCTGTGCACCCAAGCTAACAGTGTTGTGTATATAGTGTAAATATGATTACGGAGGTCGATGGGTTTCGGAAGTCATCCTTACGTATCTCCGACGAAGACGGCTTTTCCCCCCAGGGGTATCTGAGAGAGAAGGTAGGCCCGCGCGAATTCGCTAGGCTTGCCGATGTTAGTTGGAATTCTGCCGGTCACGGCCTCCACCGCAGCAGCCGTCGCCCCGACCCCTGTCGTATTGAAAATTAAAAAAAAAAGTTCAAATCAGAAATTACAAAAACAATCGCCTACCTGGAAGGAGGGCCATATCGCACTTTAATCTCACAAATTTATCTATGTGCGTCTGGACGTAGGAGATTTGCGGGTCTTGGACGTAGTTCACTAATTCAAATAGTTTGGTGAAATTGAAATCTATATCGTAGGCGAGAAGAACTGCGCCGACGTCCTTATTCAATTTCATCTCTACCAAATCCGTCATACCAGTAATTTTCTTCTGAAATCCCATTAAGATTATTGACCCACGTGTTGTGTGTTTCCAGCCTTGTCCATACATTCTGAGAGGTTATGTAGTCTATGTTCATGCCGTCCAACTCCTCTAAGATCCCTTTGCCTCCCGGAACAAACAATTTCTTATTTCCCAGAGTTTCCTTAAAATATTTCGCCGCCAATAAACTTGATGATATTATATCCTCCTATAACATAAATATAGTCAGTAAATAACAGTAGTGTTCAAAAAGTAAGTTTAGAGCATTAAAATTACTTCTATTTCAATTTCAAATCAGCACAGTTAAGTAGTTAATTATTTATATACTGACTAAAACGTTGAGAAGAATAATTGTGACAGTCCATGTGTAAAATTTTAAACAGTCATAACTTGGTTAATTTTAAATCAAACTTATTGAATTTATTTATTATGTTCGAAACAAATCTTCCTCTATAAACTAAACATAAAACCACGTATATTGATGAAAAATTAGGTATGATTTAGGTAGAAACCTATATAAACATTAAAGATTTGATTACTTATTCAATTTCTATGCTACAAGCTAAGGTTAACATTGGGAGAAAGAGAGATAAAGAGAGAGAGTTGAATGAATGTTGAATGAATATTGTTTTATTTGAAAAAATCCGCTAATTTAAGTTGCGGTTCTTACAACCAACGAGAATAAGGAATTAACGAAACAGAGAGAAGGAGAGAGAGAGAGAGAGTGATGAATGAATCTTGAATGAATATTGTTTTATTTTAAAAAAATCCGCTAATTTAGTCTCCGGTTCTTACAGCCAACGAGAATAAGAAAAAAATTAACGAAAAGAGAGAGAAGGAGAGAGAGAGAGTGATGAATGAATCTTGAATGAATATTGTTTTATTTTAAAAAATCCGCTAATTTAGTTTCCGATTCTTACAGCCAACGAGAATAAGAAAAAATTAACGAAAAGAGAGAGAAGGAGAGTTAGATAGAGACAGTGAGAAACCAATGTATTGTAGGAGAGAGAGTTTGAATAACCAAAATAATTATATAATAAACTGTTCTTTCTATGTAAGGTCTTGGTTAAGATAAAAAAGTCAGTGTCACGAGCTGGATTCGAACCCACAACCATCGGCTAAATACGCCGCTTCTCTACCATTTGAGCTACCGTGACTTCGATTCTCACGGACACCTACTCTCCATCTCAACCTACAACCGTTCGAATTTTCCCTCTTTTTGCCATTTTCAAATGTCGAATAAACAGGATTGGATTCTCAGCGACTTGTGATGTGGCCACGGGGAGGTATTTAGTGAAGTGATACTTCTTTTACTTTTTAAATATTAATCCATTTACGTTTTTGTGGTCAATTGACCAAGTTACTTCTTTCAATTAATTATTCTTTCTATGTAAGGTCTTGGTTGAGATAAAAAAGTCAGTGTCAAAAGCGGGATTCGAACCCATGACCACTTGAGCTATCGTGACTTCGATCCTCTCGGACCTTTTATCTCATAGGAATAATAATTTATTGAAAGAAGTAACATTGTACTAAAACGTATATGGATTATATAAGAATCCTGTACTTACTTATAATAATGTACGTCATAAATTTTACAATAAGACCCAAATATGATATAGTGCGTAATCCATATAGTTGTTCAAAACAATTGCAAGAGAGAAATATTTACAATATTGAAAAATTATATATCTACCACAATGAATTTATGAGTTTAGTCTAGTAGACTGGATAAGAGATCAGTATATTCTATATTAAAAATGTAGAATCAATTCTTTTCCTATTCTGTATTTTTATTATACAATCCCGATGATGATTACCCACGAGCCTTGATGGTTGGAAACAAAGCCGATTTTCAATTCTTATCGGAAACTTTCCATTAGAGATTACCTATTGGATCAAGAAAGCGTTTCACCCCATCTCCGGTTACATGCAAAATGGCTTTTTAAAACGGATGATGTAATGGTTTTTCTGGTCGGGTTTTCCTCCTTTTCTTAGCGATAAAAAAAACCATTACCTAGAAACATTAAACAAATTTAACGGGAATATATTATTTTAAAATAAAAAGCTTTTCAATAATTTAAAACTTCAAATTTGAAGGAATTTTAAGTTATTTTATTATTTATAACGCTTTTTATTATCACAAAAATGCTATATGATTAATGGCAATGTATGGTATACGCGTGGATTACAATCCTTCTGGTGGAAATTAACTTTAGTGGTGTATGACCAAATTATTTCTTTCAATTAATTAATCTTTTTATGTAAGGTTTTGGTTGAAATGAAAAAGGTAGTGTCACGAGCGGGATTCGAACCCACGACATTCGGCTCGATACGCCGCTCGTGACACTAACGTTTTCATTTCAACCAAAACCTTACATAAAAAGATTAATCATAACTTAAATTTGCATGAAATGTTAACTAAATAATTAATAATTTTGAAAAATAAGATCTTACATGAATTGCCTTTTTTTTTAATTTTTGTTTTACATTGAATTGGAAACTATTACATCAAAATGAATTCCGAGGTGAAATAAAAATTCAAATTCTCCTTCATCTTGATCAGTTCATTCTGAACTATTCCATAAATAAATTCATAAATGAATGAACTCTATTATTATTTTCTAATTCACTAGTTTCGTGGTCCGCTTGAAAAATCAATATACTACAATTAATTAAGGTTTTCCGTTGAGATAAAAAAGTCAATGGCACGAGCAGGATTCGAAATGACTGAAAAATGGCAAAAAGGAGGAAAAATTCAAAAAGGTGTGGTAGAGATGGGAAGTTGATGTCCGAGTGGATCGCGGTCACGATAGCTCAAGTGGTAGAGCAGCGGCGTATCAAGCCGAAGATCGTGGGTTCGAATCTCGCTCGTGCCATTGACTTTTTTATGTCAACTGAAAATCTTAATTAATTGTAATCTATTATTACTTTCTACAACATTACCAGACCTTTAATATCGATCTTACCTTTCCACTACTCACCAACTTCATAAAAGTTACCGGTTACATTGTCTAGAGGAGAAACCGTACGCGACTGGAGTGTTTTTAGAGGTTCATCAGGCCTTCGACAAAGTATGACATAACGGACTACCTCAAGGGGAGATTTTTCGTAAATCAGATTTTGGTGATAAAGGATGTGGTTTCAGGTGCCCAGAGGTTAATACTAGCTCTGTTCATGTAAACAATTTTTATGAGAATGTATTTACTGTTACATTAACAAGAGATTTATCTTCTAAAGTAGTTTCTCTACCTATCAACCAAATGTTTACGATTGAAAAGTGGAGCAATCTTTGGAAAATAAAGTGTAATGTCTCAACGTCACAATACATCACTTTGACACTAGCTTTATCATCTCAGCCAAGACCTTAGATAAAAATAATAATTAATTAAAATATTTAGCATGACCAATTACGCCCGCGAAACATGTATGGAATAAAAAGTTATATTTGAGAATTGTCCAAATTGTAAGGGTTTATGAACACAAAGATTAATTGTAACTACATCGGTTATTCAGGATTAATTTCTTTGAATGGTAACAAGGATTTTGTAGTTAATAAATTATTGCGAATTACAAAACTCCAAACCTTAAACGGATAGAAACTACATTAAAATCTTAGGGATCGACTTCTCTCATTTCCAAGGAGGAAAGCAATGCTTTAACATTTCATAAGGCATACCCTGCCCTCGCTCCATTTTATTCCCTCGAATTGGTAGAGTGCCTTGTCGGGCAATTAAGTTTTCAAGCAAACGACATTCTTTTGTTTTCCTTCGGGCTAAACTTTAGATGCAAGATTGGCCACAGCGGATACAAGATTTAGGGCCCTGGTGGAAAACTATAGAATCGGAGTGAGCCGGGCAAAAAACTTTATATATATCACTCTTGATTTTATTCTACTCATGCCCGTGGGATTTCCATCGTATTTCTATATTTCCACCTATAACAAATTGTGTTCAGCATAATTCGAGAATTCGTCGAGAAACGTCGGCGGTTAGAACAATGATCGAATTAAATAAAACCACCTCAGTGAGATAGACCGATTTGGATTGGGTTTGATTCCCTGGAATATTCGCCTCGTTTGCATCAGACAGAAAATGGAATATCGTTCCGGAGACAAAATACCGCCATTCACGCATCACGTACCCCCATCAATATTACATTACACAAGGAACAATACAACCCGGCTTACAGAAAATCGACTTTTAACTTCTTCAGAAATGTTGACGTCACTCCAGGACCACACTCTTGTTTGTGTGAAATAATGAAATATTGTTATTAAAAACAATTCCTTCAAAAACATCAAAAATAGATAATTAGCAAGAGAAAATTGTGAATATATTAATTAAAATAATAAAAAATAAATAATTTATTATTGCTCTTCATTTAGTTTGTAGATCATAAGACAATTTTTGCCTTGAGGAAAACATGCAGTTTCTTCGTTGGGCATTTGAGAAATCTAACATCTAAATCTGGACTATGAAACCATAATGTTTCATCTAAAGCAGCTATTTACAAAGGTATTACGTTCGGCGTTTTTCTACAAAGGGTGAGTTTACAGTCTGTCCCCCTTATTTACTTTAATTAGGGCGTTTTTGGGAAAAGCTTTGATACCCACAGTTTTGATCTAACTCTCCAGGGATTGGGTTGAAATTGAACTATTTCAAATGGCAAGATACGCATCAATGTACATTTTGTGAAAGGTTTCCTGACGCTAAATTTATCGGTGCAAACGGTGTTTAAGTTGGAGCAACCATTCTTAAGTTATTAAGAAAAACGTATTTCTGAACATTGTTTTCCGGAAAAACGGTATATTCTCCAACTTCTTCAACGAAGAACCAATTTATTTATCATTTTAGTTGATAGTAAATTAATTGTTTACATGTTTCAAAATATGGCAACAATTTGCTCACGACAAAAAATTTACTTTCGCTATTAAACAACCATTTTGTTTATAAATTTATTATTAAAATTGGAATAACTACGTTAACACAATCTTGTCCAGATATGTTGGGATGATCCGAGACGATGGGGTCTCTCACTATCTAAAGTTGCATGAAAAGTGAATAGCTAATGAAGATAATCTGTGTTTTTGTGTGACAAGTTCGTTATTTTCTGAAAACGAAATTAAAAATCGCACTATCTTGTCTGAATCTCAATAATATTTACATACAAAAAAATGATAAAATATAAAAAAAACTGAAGTAAATAAGT